TTTTTTTTTTCTCATTTTGTCTCTCATAGTTGAGGTATACCTATGATGAAAATTACAGGCCTCTCTCATCTTTTTAAGTGGGAGAACTTGCACAATTGGTGGCTGACTAAATACTTTTTTTCCCCACTGTATATCTGCTAATGTTTCATCAGGTTTCTTTTTACATTATGAATATGATGTATTTTTATGCATTATGACCAATCACAGGTTTCTGTTTATAGCAATGGCCAATGGCCAATCAGAGGTGTTTAGTCACCACTGAAAACGTTTGTTCTGCAGTATTTGACAAAGACTGCACAAAAATGCCCCTGGAAATTAACTGGAACTGAACTTAAATTGAATGAACAGAAAAGTTTATTTCCGACCCTGGTGGATTTCAAGAAAACGTATGACAAACAACCTTTAAGTACGCAAGCACACTCCCAACAGAGTTTTGCCCTACCTGAGGCACAGTGGGAGAAGAGTCCCAGACTCCTGGTTGAACTTCAGATGCACACTTTCCAGCTGTCGTGTTCGCACCAACTCATGAGGGACAATAGCAGCCGAACTCTCGCTCTCAAGACTGTCCTTACGGCTCCTGGGATAATAGAATAGGGGAAAAGATAAATAAGGAAAAAACAGAATGAGGGTGTCCAATTTGTGTCCAAGTGCCACATTTGAACTATATAAAAGTCATTGCATTAGATAACCACGTTGTAACTGTGTTCATCACATTAACTATGAACCTGATCCACTAATGTTGAAATACCAGAAATGTTCCAAATAATGATGTGCAATGATATTCATACATTTATAGCTTAAGTGCCTAAATATTTTTAAGAAAGAAATAGTGCAGTGTAGTGCAGAGTTTTGTTTCCATTTTGTTGTAACAAAAAGTAACTTGCAGACACTGTTCTGAACACCCATTTTCAAAGTGGAATAAAGAAGAATAGTCTCCATAGCCCATTTGTTGGAGAAATAGTTTCAGTTTCACTCGTAGTTGGCGCTTACCTTGATATCTGCTGGGTCTGGAAATGTCCAACTGATTGTCTATGGAGAAATTAGGGGCAGATTTGTACCACAGCGAAGTGAATGAATGCATTTACCACTACTGCCAAACGGCAAATCAATTTTATTCTTTCCAAAAGCCACTTACAAAAAAGTCAACTTTCCCTCTTTTAAGAGATTGGAATAGCTCCTTTAAATGCATCTACATATTTGTAATTCAGTTGCTACTGTAAGGCCTTTTAGGCACAAAATGTTGGACAGATGCATCAGTGGAGCAAGTGTGGCAAACACAGGGCGAGCAACTGATCAACAACTGACAAATAAATTCATGACACACTTAAGTGGTCTTGAAAGTTTGTCAGTTAAGTGTGCATAATGATAACTTGACTGCTTTATTAAATAACAGGAACAAATAAGTAAATAAATAAAATTGCATACAGGATTCAACTCCTTTTCATTATATCTGGTTCTGTTAATGGTTTTTAACTTGCACGGCTGCTGAATCTATTGTGCGAAACATACATTGCCGACCAAAGTAGTCAAATTCCCCAACTAATTATTCTTATGAGCTGGTTCTTTTTAGTAAAACAAAATATGTCTGAATCAATCGGAGGGGGTAAGTAAGTAAATTAATTACTTAATGAAACTGAAAGTCATTACTTTCATCATGACAAACTTGAAATTCAACACAACGACTTGATCACAAGTACTAAAGGAATTGTTAATGAAACTGGAATCGTTAAAAGGAATCTGAACCAGAACTGTTCAATTCTTTATGATTTTCAGTCAGTGCTGAAGCCTGAACTCCTTTTCCTCTCCATAAAGAAAGTATGTACAGAAGTGAAGTTCTTTATTACAAAACTGTCACTGTACATCACTTCAGTTCAGCATTATGTTTCTCATTCATCATGATTATTTGGAACAGGCAACACAACCAATTTCAGCAGGCAGTCAGGCTGAGCTCCAGGATGTGTGTCTGAATCTCTGGCTGGGCT